GAATAGAATTTAAGGAGAATAAAATTACCTTCATCAAGAATAAAAAGATACAACACTTAGTGGTAGTCAATGTTACTAATAAGCTATCAAATCAGACTAGGAAACAACAAAAACAATATAAATCGTAGATAGGTACTAGGAAGGAAGAGAAGAATAATAGTAATACATTCTTGGTAAATTATTGACAGTATTGTGGGAATTAGTTGTTAAGCAGAGTGATGGCATTCGGGGGAAAACTGTTCCTGTGTCTAGTTGTCTTGGTGTGCAGTGCCCTATAAGAGTCGTTTTGAGGGTAGAAGTTGAAACTATTTATGTTCAGGATGTGAGGGGTCTGTAGATATTTTCACAGCCCTCTTTTTCACTTGAGGAATATACAGGTCCTCAATGGAAGGCAGATTGGTAGCAATTGTTTTTCTGCAGTTCTAATTATCCATTGAAGTCTGTGTCTGTCTTGTTTGGTTGCATTTATATGATCATAAAAATCATATAAATCAGAGGTAGGTTGCTCCCAGTTCCACCTGGACAGGCGAACCGATAGTAGCGGTGGCGGGAGACTCCGCCCACTTGCTTCTGCACAAGCGTAGAAGCATCACGCATGAGCACACTCAAACCAGTAGTAAAAAAAATTGGCAACCCACCACTGATACAAATCTCTTTTAATAATGATGGTTTTTATGTGATCATATACACATTGTCTTTAGGAATGTTTAATTAAATTGCACCTGCTCTTAATTGATTTTGCCTGAATCATTTTCCTTTGGCTGTATCAGTTAAGCCTCCACTATCATGAATAGATTCTTTATCTCATCATAAAGTATTATCCTTTTCTGCCCAGATTAAGTGGTCCATTTAGGAACAAATGGTTTGCAGAGTATAATTTCAACTCCTCCGCCATCCAATCACAAACAGCTCCAGTGTTCAGAAAAGCTAATCAGATTTAATTAAATGTAATATTTCATCCTTTTACCAGTAAAGAAGCAAAGGTTTCACTACTTCAGACTGGATGCCCCTTAAATTATACACATTCCATTGATCGCCATCCACCAGGTTGAGTTTGAAAAGAACTTCAAAAGTCAGGTAATAATCTCCATTGCTTGCCAGGTATAATTTTTTCATCCGATCAAGCTGTCTTGAATCAAGGAAAATATTAACATAATATATGCACAGAGAAATAATTCAGAAAAAAGACATTCAACTCTAAAGCTCTTTTACATTTTAAATGGAATTCCATCTTTCTTCACAAAATAAAGGCCAGGATTGAGAACATTTAGCCACAATAACCTTCTCATCCTGGTGCTTTCCAAAAAGCTGAGTTGGAATTATCAACTACACGTAGTCCTCGACTTACAATAGTTCACTTAGTGAGCGTTCAAAGTTACAACTGAAAAATGTGATTTATGAACCGTTTTTCAGAGTTACCATCTTTGCAGTATCCCCATGCTCATGTGATCAAAATTCAAGATGCTGGTTCAGATTCATGATTGTTGCTTTGTCCCAAAGTCATGTGATCACTTTTTGCAAGCCAAGTCAATGGGGAAGCCAGATTTACTTAACAGCTGGGTTACTAATTACCAACTGCAATGAGTCACTTAACAACTGTGGCAAGATAGGTTGTAAAATTGAGCAAAACTCAAAAAATGTCTCACTTAACAACAGAAATCTTGGGCTGGATTGTGGTCATAAGTGGAGAACTACCTGTATATCCAACATAAAAAGAGGAAAGTAGGTCCAATATATTTCAGGTTCACTAGTTTGGGAGATGCTACCTTACTCCTTAGTTACTAAAATATCAAATAAGATGTATTCTGGGAGAAATCGTATAATTTATAATTCTTGATACTTAAGAATATCTTATGTCTTCATATTTCTCCTGAGTTTTCTGCTTCTAGGTAGTCCTTAAATTATGATTATAATTGGGACCAGAAATTCCATTGCTTAGCAAGGCAGTAAAGTGAATTGTGCCTGATTTTACCTGCTTTTTTGTCACAAATATGGGAAACTAATTTGCTATGGTTATGGGAAATGAACTTGTCAGAAGGAAGATCTGACAAATAAACATAAACCAAAATGAAAACAGCAACTAAACTCATTCAATATCTTCACTGCCAAAGGCTCATTTTATATTAAAATCTGGAAATACCTTTTCTGCCTTTTAAAAGTCTTCATGACCTTCAGCCGTTCGATATCTATCCAAAGCCACCAGTATTTTTCTCCCAAAGTTCCTCTGATGAATTTTTTAAATCTTTCAAATTCATGCCTGCTACCAATGTCATACGTCTTGTGGCTAACACACCAAGCTGCTCTGGTTTCAGTGTTATCCTTTTCTGATTTTGCAGAAATTTCACTCTTCACATCCGCTCCGTCAACCGCTCCATCAACCGTTGCGTCAGCAAAAGATGACTTTTCAAAGATGGACTCTATGGATTTTTCAGTGCCTACTAACTCATATATAAAAACTCTAGTTGTCTTACTGAAATTGATGTTATTAGGACTGGGTTCAGGCGGCTGGCCAGTGACTACTGCAACAGAATTTTTTAGTACGTTTTGAACAAAGGCAAAAGAAAACTCATCCATAGTGTGAAAAGATGCCAATTCTTGATATTGGAAAATATCTTTCACACTTTCACTCTTTCCCTCCTCAGGACTAAAATCCCAGTCTTGTCCTAAATATGCTCTTAATAATGTCCCTGAAGGAGTATCAGGAAGTGACAAAGAATGACCTTCATCTATGCTTCTTCTGGCTTCTGTCTTTTGAAGAAATGGGACGTCAGTAAAATCGGGCTTCTTCTTAATTCTGGATTCATAACCTGTATGTAAATCACACATCAATCCTCCAAAGACCACCAACATGCTAACATAATCATGAATTCGAGTATGTAAAAATTGTTCTATCTCACTCTCCAGGAATGGTTTCTTTCCTCAGACATTTCTGCAAGTCAGAACCTAACTTTGAGTAGCTGAATTAATATTATTTTACAAAAAAAAAAGCCAAGAACTACCCCAAGTCACCATCATTTGTCTCCTATCACATACAGTATGTCTGAATTTATTTTTCAGCCTGAATATGAAACAAAAGAGCATCTAGAGCTGTGATGGTGAACCTATGATATATTGGTGGGCATGCAAGCTCAGTTCCGACACACATGGGTACAGTGGTCAGCTGATTTTCGGCCCTTCTGGGCCCACCAGAAGTCAGGAAACAGGCTGTTTTCAGCCTCCGGTAGGCCTCTGGGGGGTGGGGAAGGCCGTTTTTGCCCTCCCCAGGCTCCTACAAATATCTTCTCCCAGAAGAAATGATTATATTCCAGAGTTTCTGCAAAACAGTTCTGGGCCAGGCAATTCAGTTGAGTCAGAATCTGGACCACTTTTATTAATATATTATTTAGACAAAACAAAGTCTAGATGGGTTCAGTTGTTTCCACTATTCTCCAAGCAAGTCCACCACAATAAACCAGTGATACTTCCTGCTCACAGTTTTATTTATTTATATTTATATTTATTTATACCAAACCTCTTAACTGCCCATTTCAGAGGTAGGCTGCTGCCAGTTCAGACCGGTTCAGGCGAACCAGTAGTTCCGGAAGCTCACCCACCCATCCCGGCACTATCAGGTCCTATATATCTCACTCTCTGTTTCGCTCACCCCATTCATGCAGGGCAGCTAATTTCCGTGCCTTGCCCGCTTTACTCACTGTGGCTGCCCGAGAAGTGTGCTGGAAGCACCATAAAATCGCCATGTGTTTGAAGCTGTGCACAAGCGCAGAAGGCGCAGTCAGGGGCAAAGCGTGCATGCATGTGGGCTCACACATTTTCAGTTCTGCACTAGGCAAACCGGTTGTTAAATTATGTGCAGTCCATCTCTTGCCCATTTCCAGTGGTGGATTCAAATAATTTAACAACCAGTTCTCTGTCCTAATGATTTCTTCCAACAACCAGTTCACCAAACCGGTTGTCCCAAAGTGGTGCGAACTGGCTGAATCCCACCACTGCCCATTTCCTTCATACAGGGGCTCTTTCCCACAATATTTCCAGCAGTTTCCCACCCACACACTTCTCAGCTGCTTTTCATCTCAAAGCCTGGCATATTCCACCAACTAACCAACCAACCAAGCAATATCCCCACTACCTCCACTCTTTCTCCCTCCTCTGCTAATATCCTTAGGTTTGTCATCACTTATCCTGCATAAAATTTTGCCTGGAACATAATAGTCCCTTTTCATTCTGTGCACAGGAAAAAATACTATTTTGCAGCCATAGGAACCAAAACACCCAAATGTGACATACTACGTTAGTTTGAAGCCAGTGCTTCTGTGTTGAGGTGTCATCTTATTTACTTTATGCTCCTCTTGTATATTTACCAAAAATCATGTGGCCCATAAAAATAAATAAATGTCTTAAATTTGTAATGTTGTATATCTTCACAAAGGAAATAACGTTGTTTAAAAAACCCTCCGTTTTAAGCCTCTTGCACTTGTTTTTTTTTTCAATTCTGTACTTATATTAGAGTTGCAAGGTTTTCCCATCCCATTACTATACTGCTCCTCAATAAATGCAATGAAAGGGCCTTTGGGATATATGTTCCTTAATGTATAATTAAAAAACACATGTAAGGAAAGCCAGGGCATTAATATGGATGTGCTCAGAGGTTCCACCACAAAACCGCGGTAGACTAAAGCACGTGTGACTAAAGCGCGGTGACAAAACCGCACCGTCAAAACCGTGCGACAACAGCGCGCTGACAACAGCACGCTGACAGAAGCGTGCTGTAACATAACCCTAAAAATAACCCTAAACCTAACCCTAAACCTAACGCTAAACCTAACCCTAAACCTAACCCTAAACCTAACCCTAAACCTAACCCTAAACCTAACCCTAAACCTAACCCTAAACCTAACCCTAAACCTAACCCTAAACCTAAACCTTACCTTAAGTTAAATCGTTCTTCTGTCGGCGCGCTGTTATCGGCGTGCTGTTGTGGGCGTGCTTTTGACATCGCGGTTTTATCGCCGCGGTGTTGTCGGCGCGCTTTAGTCTACCGCGGTTATGTCGTGCCACGGTGCTCAGATACTTTGTAAGCAATAGCAATAGCACTTAAGACTTATATACTGCTTTACAGTGCTTTACAGGCCTCTCTAAGTGGTTTGCAGAGTCAGTCTATTGCCCCAAACAATTTGGGTCCTCATTTTACCCACCTTGGAAGGATGGAAGGCAGTGGTGAGTTTCCAATTTTTTTTACTACTGTTTTGCTCATTGGTGCGTAAGCGCTTGCTTGTGCATGTGATGCTTCTGTGCATGCACAGAAGTGTCCGGATGGATGGGTGGAGCCTCCCACCACCACCACTACTGGTTCGCCCGATCCGGGCCGAACCGGGAGCAACCCACCTCTGATGGAAGGCTGAGTCAACCTTGAGCCTGGTGACATCTGAACTGTTACATTGCAGGAAACCAGCAGGCAGCAGAAGTAGCCTGCAGTACTGCACTCTAACCACTGCACCACCTTGGCTCATGAATACAAGAATGCAAAAATACCACTTCTAATACCCTAATTTTTTTAGAGCAAGTACAATAAAAAGCAGAGTTTTTCTGCCATGAATTTATAAACCAGGAATAATGAAGCCAGCATTATTGCAGCTGCCCACCATTCCAAATTATACTATTAAAATACAGTTGCAAAATAGATAAATTTTGGTGACACTCTTTCTTAACTTTTTAAAATTCAAAAACTGGGACTAAGAATGGGAAAGATGTTTTTTCTCCCTGAAGTCTCCTGGTTCCAGTCCCAACCTCCTCAAACTTCAAAATGACTGTGGTCAGCACAATTTTAGTTCATTTTGGGTTGTTTTTTTTGTCATTCAAAAATGGGAAAAAGTCAGTGGTGGATTCCTAACCGGTTTACTACTGGTTCGCTGAGCACGTGCTGCGCATGCGTGCACAATTGAACAAAAATTAGTCAGAAAAAAAGGAAAACAGCTGAGGAAAGGCAATTAAAGATGCCGCCCTGGATCAGCTGGGCTTCGGTAAAGTAAGTATAACCCAGGGGCGGGTGGGCAGGCCCACTTTTTAAAAAAAACAGAGAACCAGTTTGGTCTCCATTTGAAGGCAGCACTACAGTCCAAACTAGCAGGAACCCATCTCTGGAACAAGTGTCGTCTGAGAAGCAAACCACTGCTCTTGTAGCCCATCAACCAGAGGTGGGATTCAGCAGGTTTTCACCAGTTCTGTAGAACCAATAGCAGAAATTTTGAGTAGTTTGGAGAACCGGTAAATACTGGCCCTGTTCCCATCTATTCTCTGCCTCCCGAGTCCCAGCTGATCGGGAGGAAATGGGGATTTTGCAGTATCCTTCCCCTGCCATGCCCACCAAGCCCCACCCACCAAGCCACGCCACATCCACAGAACTGGTAGTAAAAAAAATTGAATCCCACCACTGCCATCAACCCAGCCCAAAATTCCCTCTCCCCAATTGTGATCTCAGTAACATTTGTTACTCTATAGGAGATGATTTAAAGCTGGCAAATTGTCTCTAGAAACATCTTGTTCCCATTTGCAGTTTTAAGGTGTAATTAATTACCAAAAAAGGATAAAATCAGTTGGTTCTGTCTTCTCAGTGATATGCTTGGTGTGGTCCTTTGTAAGTCTAAATTTTTCCTTGATGCCTTAAATTTTGTTCGTTCCTGCTATAAATGCAACTTGCCCACAAATACTACTTACCTAAGTGATCACTGCGAGTAGTAACACTAATAATGGATGAAGAAGTTTTGCAAAGTTCTTGAGGCGTTATATCTGAAGATAAATGTACAATATAACATTGTTAAGAAAGAATTGGGAAGAAGAGGACAAAAGCTGGGTAGGAGAAGGAAATAGGCCCATTACAGGGGGGAAGGGCTTGATAAGATCATTGAAAACCATGGGGTGAAGTGTTATCAATATGCCGAACATATCCAACTTTACATCTCCATCCCTGGTGATGCAATTAATGCTGTATCTTCCCTCTCATGATGCCTGGAGGCTGGAGGGATTTGGATGGGGGACAACAGGCTTTGGCTAAACCCTGATGAGATGGAGGGGCTGTGAGTTCAAGCGGCTTCAGGATTTGTTGGTTCATCATCCTTAGTTCTGGATGGGGCTGCACTACCCCAGACAGACTCAGTATACAATCTGGGGGTTCTCCTGGACTCATAAATCCTGCTCGGAGCAGATGGCAGCCATGGCTAAGAGAGCTTTTGGGCAACTTCATATTATGTGCCTTTCGTGAATCCCTGTGCATAGTCACTCATGCCCTGGTCATCTCCCAGTTGGATTACTGCAACACCCTCTGCATGGGGCTACTCTTGTAGAATATCCATAAGCTACAACTGATACAGAACACAGCAGCGCAGACGATTTTGTACACCTCTCATGTGGCACATGTGACACCACTGAGATGCGAGCTGCACTGGTTGCCAGTTTGCTTTCAGATCTACTTCCAGGTGATCGTTACCTTTAGCCCTTTATGGCATGTGCCTAGGGTCTCTGAGGAACCACCTTACCCTGTTGGGATGAATCCACCTCACTCATTTCGGTGGAAAGGGCCTACTTTGGATCCCATAAGTCAAAGAATTTCAGCTGGTGGGGTCCAGGAGAAGAGCCTTTTCTGCTGTGGCCCCCATACTATGGAATGCTCTCCCACCAGAGGTGAGATCTGATCCCACACTCCTGGCCTTTTGGAAGAGCCTAAACATTTGGCTCTGCTGTTTGGCCTGGGACCCAAACAAGGACACACTACATTGGGGATGGCTGGTCATCATCTTTGCTTTTTAATTTTAATTTTTAAATTCTATTTTAATAGTTTTCCACACTTTTTAATCCTTATTATATTGTAAGCTGCCCAATGTCACATTTTAGTGAGATGGATGGCATAGAAAGCCAATAAATAAATAAAATAAATTAATAGCCCACTGTTGCAATAAACTATATTTTCCAAATTACTTCCATATTGCTACCTCCAAATTACATAAAAGTGTCTGCAAAGTTGAAATCATTAGCACAAACCCATTTCAAAAAAGGCTTTATCTCTCTATATATATAAAATTATTAGTTTTATTCATTCATTTATTTAAAACATTTGTATAGTCACTTATCTTAAAACCAACAGTGGGTGGCTTACAGCCAACAAAATTATTCTCTCTCTCTCTCTCTCTCTCTCTCTCTCTCTCTCTCACTCTCTTAAAACAAACCATGATAAAACTAAAAAAACAGAAAACCTGATATTACATCACATTTCCCTGATACTATCTGCATACTTATCTCACACTGTCCTCATTGCATCCCTACTGGCTTGTTTCCATGGAGGTTTCTCAAATAAGATCAGTAAAATATACACAACAATTGCATCATTTAGCATATAAACAATTACTACATTATGGCCTTCTTCTTATATTAAGGTTCTCCATTAAGTAACCTTGAGGCTCCAGAGAAATAATAGTTGTGATTAAGCAGTATTTTTCCCACTTGCCCTAAAAATTCATGAAAGGCGAGCAACACAATTTTTTTTTGCAAAACAGTGAAAAGGAGAAAGGGAATATGTTGAAGGACTCAGAAGAAAAATAATGTAAGTTTTTATAACAGACTGGCTGATTGATTTTGTTTGTAAGACTGCCCAATTGTTCATCCATGTCTACTACCCTCACATATAATTTCCAGTGATTAATATTACCTTCATATGTAGGCCATGACTTTGAAGAATCAGGTAAAAATCGAACATGAGACGATGACACAGGACGGGTAAAACAATCAGTAATGATCATGTTCTGACTTTGTTTGGCTAGAGTAAACCAATCCTGTGTCTGAGTAACAGTAGCCTATTAAATAAAACATTTGGTTACTTATAAATTAAGTGGAGAAGACAAGTGGTAGATTTAAAAGGAGAAATGTTAAGTCTACATCTGAGATGTCCCAATTCAAAAATCCAAAGGAATATGTGACATAAGATAAGGAAATCATTTAAGCACACTATATCCCTATCTAGTCAAATAAAAATAAATACAATAAATAGTTACCAATTAATACTATTTATGCCATGATAAATCTACTGTTTATTATCAGTATAAATGTTTTTTATTAATTTTATCTCACTTGTTATGCACACCATAAACTGTTATTCAACCCAAAAGCTTTACTGTAGTCAGAAAGAAGGCTGATACTCTTTTTTATCCAGAACTATTTGATCTAATTGGTAAAAGTTCTTTTTGTGTAGTTATTGAAATGTCCAGGGTCCAAGCAAAAGAAAAAAAGAGCAATTGTATTTCCTAACAGTGTAAAAACCAGTTGAATTTGGAGTTATTGCAAGAATGAACTATTTTTAATTGAAGAACATGGTCCTTTCTGGATGGTCTCTATATTCCATGGTTGGAGAACCTACAGTTTTTAGTGAATGAGACAAAAGGGACCAGGCTACAGTTGTGCTGTTTCATCACATTCTTTGTGCATCCCCTTCTCACTTTTGCACATCTCCCCTTTTTCTCCCTCTCTTCTTCTAGATGTGTTGAAGTTAGAAAAGAGGTTCAGTTTTTGCAATAAACAGTTGACACCGCAAGGGAATGACCCGGTGCAATGGTGGGATTCAAATAATTTACCAACCAGTTCTCTGCCCTAATGACCAGCTGGATAGGCGGGGCTCGGTGGTCATGTGATCATGTGGGCATGGCCAAGTCAATGTCACTCAGGTGGATGGGCACTTTGCCTTAGTTGTTACAATGGTAATAAGGAGAGGCAGTTTCTGTAAGCAGGGCAATAAAGATTAGGCTAGAAACAACACCAGAATGTTTCCTTCAGAATTAGCCCTGTAAAGTGGGGAAAAAACAAAAGATTTCTTCCAACAACCAGTTCTCCGAACTGCTTAGAAAGTTACCAACCGGTTCTCCCGAATAGGTGCGAACTGGCTGAATCCCACCACTGGCCCAGTGCCCAAAATGGTAAAAGAGGAATTAAAGAAGAAGAAGATGACAGCTAAGGAAAAGAAGGCCGTCCTTTGATCCTCAACTGCCTTCCTCAACTGCCTTCTGTCATGAGAAATTAACTTAAGACTTTTTTCAAAGTTTGTCATATGTTGTGGAAGGCAGGCTGCAGTACACTTGTAATTCCTCTAAATTTTCTACTTTAGTAGTGTCCTAGACTGAGGAAAGCTGCATTCAAAACACTATTCAGCTAGGAAATCCCCAGGTAAAGGTAGGTAAGTCATTCCTTGTCATCTTAACACATTTTCAGTGTGGTAACATAAATAAAATAAACAGAAGACATCAACTAGTGAGAAAATGGGACTATTAAGAAGGATACATCCATATTCCATGCTCCTTTACATTTAATTTTTTATCTTAAAAATATTTTATTTACTGCTCTGCAATCTGAGACCAAAGCAACATACATTAAAACATACACAGCAATGAAATTAAAAAGGACATAAAACCAAGTCAGCCAAATCCAAGAAGAAGGAACTTTTGCCCCTACCCTTGGAATATCCAAACATTAGTCACTTAAAAGAAAATACTGATCTCCTCAATGATGAGGGAAGTTCTGAATAATTTGGGGTTATAATTCTGATAATGAATGGGGATGAAAGTGGGTGTTTTAGTAAAACATGAAAAACAGAATCAACCACTGTGCTTGAAGCAGTAATGGTTTCCTCTTATCTTTGCTACCGGTTTGGCTCTGCATGCGCAGAGCGTCCGTGATGATATCTGGGCGGGTGGGCGGAGCCTCCCACTGCCACCATTACTGGTTCGCCCGAACCGGAGCAAACTGGCAGAATACCACCTTTGATTTGAACATGTAGGTATGATTTTCATATGGGAGACTGTAATATCTTCTAGTTGTCATCCTGATGGGTAACACCTCAACTTGAACCAGAGGTTAAACAAAAACCTCCCACTCTTATTTTATTCTCCACACAATACTCTTATTTACAACACTCATTGTATTTTACCTGGCCAAGAGAAACGTAGAACTTTTTCATAATCAAATCATATTCATTTTCCTCAGGGCTGTCTATGATGGGTGGAGATTTTGAGAACCAAGGATAATAGTTTTTGTCTATAACAAAACTGATCCCAGTTTTGCTCCATTCCACCTGTGAAACAAGTTTAGCTAATCTATAGAGAAGTGACAAATAGCATAAAGTAATTTAAGGTTACCCAGATAATATTAACATCAACAAAACTACTGTTCTTTTAAAGAAACCAAAAGCTCAAAGACATTATCTTAATTCATTATAATATAATATAATAATTTAATCATATTCAGAGTTTTAAATGTTTGAAGAGTATCAGCAGACTTCATATCAAGTTCATATAGAAATCTGTCAAGACAGTCACTCCTGCATTTAGGAACTAGCAGTAGAAATTTCAAGAGTCTTGGGGACAATTTTAAACACTCTTAGATAATTTCTTTAAAGGCAGACAAGATAGATTTCCTATATTTATACTCATAAGATCAGTCTGGCACAGAACAAAGGAATCTATTCCATCTTATATACAGGTGGTCCTTAACTTACAAGCCCAAAGTTTCTGTTGCTAAGCAAGACATTTGTTAAATGAGCTTTGCCCCATTTTACCACCTTTCCTGCCACAGTTGTTAATTGCTGCAGTTGTTAAATTGGTAACACGGTTGTTAAGTGAATCTGGCTTCCTCATTGACTTTGCATGTCAGAAGGTCACAAAAGATGATCACAAACCCCGGTACACTATAACTGTTATAAATATGAACCAGTTGCCAAAGATCTGAATTTTGATCACAGGATCCTGTGACCATGGGGACCATGGACCGAGTGTGAAAAACAGTCATAAGTCACTTATTTCAGTACTGTTGTAACTCTGAATAGTCACTAAACGAAAGGTTGTATATCGAGAACTACCAGTACAGTATACATTCAGGTCCAAGGTTTAAGTCTTGAGCCTGTTCCTTTTTCAGGTTAATGGAGTCTTTGCCATTCTTTTTCAGACCATGTCAAATTGTAATGCACTTGCTCAATATATTCTCTCTCCCTCTCCCTCTCGGCCCTGAGCTGCACTGGATTCTAATCAACTTTATCCTTTAAAGCTAGTCTATACTGCTAGGGTCAGTATTTCTAGGGTGCACTCCACTACATTTAATTGATGTAAAAGAAGTTACCGTTCTTAGTTTTTCTGAACCTCACATGGTGTCTCAGCTGACTCACTTATTTTTTTAAAAATGAGATCATTTACTTGGTTGACTCATTTACCTTTATCTCCTTACATTTAGTTCTATTTTTCACTATTTTGGATTTTCAATGAGGTCAGCAGAAAAACATTTGTTTTTTCCAGAGGTGAAAGTGCCCCATAACATTGTTTCTGATGGCTAAAGGAACAGCTTTAGGGCAGGGATGTCGAACTCGTGTCATCACGATGGCATCATGTGAAATATTGGGACTTTCCCCCCCTTCGCTAAACCGGGCATGGGCGTGGCCAGCATGAGACACATCCAGGCTGTGGGCTGTGGGTTTTAGGGCAATTCCCTAGCTTCAGGACATTGCTTCCTATTTCTTGTATCCTAATTTGAGTTATGAAACAATTTAACAAACAGATATGTAAACGTTCTTAAAATTTATCCAATTGTGAATTTTTCAATCCCTTATGAACCAAAACATGACCTTGTGAGCAAAATGCTTCCTATTGTTTTTATTTCTTGTACAAAATCTCTAACTTTAACCTTCCTTGCCTTAACCAGAACTAAAGTTAATAATGCTAAGTCTTAAATAGTATGAAAAATTTGGATATGAAGCTAACCCTCTCCTCTGATTCTCATTTACAACTGCTTTAATTAAACAGGATAAAGACTAACCCTAGAATATAGATTATACAATCTTAGGGCTGGAAGAGACCAGCCTAGTCTAACCCACTTCTTGAGCCAAGAGACCTTATAACATCCCAGTCAAATAGTTGTCTAGTTATTTTTGAAAACTTCTAGTGATGAAGCTTCCACAACCCTGGGAGGTAAGCTATTCCGCTGATTGTTCTCATACTCAGAAAATTCATCCTTACTTCTAGGTTTGATCTCTCCTTATCAAGCTTCTACACATTAAACTTCTTATACGGCCCTCTGGTGCTTTGGAGAATAAGACAGTCTCTCTTCTCTGTACAAGCTCTCAAGTATTGGAAGACAGTTATGTCCCACAATCCCTCTCTTTGATTGGCTAGACATACCTCGCTCCCTCACGTGTTCATTATACAATTTAGTCTCTGGAGCCTTTATCTTCATTGTTGTTTTTCTCTGCATACTTTCTAGGATCTTAGTATCTTTTCTGTTTCATGGTGACCAAAACTATATGCAGTATTCCATGTGTGGTCTCACTAGTGCTGTGATGGCGAACCTATGGTACACATGCCACAGGTGGCACACTGAGCCGTTTCTGAGGGCACGCGAGGCGTTGCCCTATCAGCTCCAGTGCGATGCTTCCAGTTTGCATGTTGGGCTATTTTTTGCTCTCCCCAGGCTCCTAGAAAGTCTCTGGTGCTTGGGGAGGGCGAAAAATGGACCTACCGGGCCCACCGGAAGTCAGAAAACGGGTCGTTTCCAGCTTCCAGAGAGCCTCCTAGGGGACGGGGGAGGCTGTTTTCTCCCTCCCCAGGATTCTAAAAAGCCATGTGCACATGCACAAGGCAGCTGGGGGTGGTGGTCATGCACGCATGCACAGGGGGCACGGTATGGGGGGCATTAAATTATGGGGGTGAGCATGTGAGCACGCACATTAGTGAGCAAGCACACTAGCGCGCATACACATACTTTGGGCACCCGAGATGAAAAAGGTTCGGCATCACTGCACTAGTGAGATATAAAGTGGCATTATCACTTCTCGTGTTCTTGATGTTATCCCTCGGTTGATGCAGCCTATGACTGCACTGTTTTTGTTTTTGTTTTGGTAGCTGCAGTATACACTGCTGGTTCATGTTAAATGGTGCTTCCATTAAAAACACCCCAGATCCCTCTTGCAGTTACTGCTATTGAACCAAGTGCCACCTATTCTGTATATATGCATTTGGTTTTTCCTGCTTAAGCGCAGGATCTTTTTTTTCTCACCACTAAATTGCATCTTTAGGGCCGGGGGGGGGGGGGGAAACGGGGCACAAAGATGCCAATAACGTTTTCTCTGTAAGAGAAGGATTATATTATGTCTTCCTTAAAGGCTGCCAATATTTGCACTTTTAAGAGTAGCAGAAAGATTGATACACTTACCAAATTAGGTATAAAAAAAATTGTGTGGCCAAAACAATCCAGTTTTTGTTGATGTTTTTGAGATAAACTAATTAGAAATCAAATTACCTGTATTCAAAGTAGCAATCACTCTCTAAAAATGCTGGAAATCTATTCTTTTTTATCCATTCAATAGCTTGTTCTCGGTTCAGACTCTAACAAAATAAAATATATTCTTTAAATTTTATTTGCTGTATTATTAATTGTATAATCCAACAATTTCCAAACACTTCATAGGAGCTCAGTGGATCCTAGAAACATACACACTAGGTATTTCATTACCCAACTACGTAACATCATCAGTGCTACTTTTATCAAGCTGTGTTTATTGGAGGTTTGTCTCTGAAACTGGTAGGCTTTTTTTCCTGCAGAAAAAAATACTTATTCTTTGACTGAAGCTTGCCTAAATGCAAATTCATCACATTTGTATGCTGTCTGAAGCATTTGATACCTATGTGCGTGCCTATAGAAAAGAAAATTTGTAGCTCAGGGGTGCTTGGTGCTCTCTTCTTGCTGATGTTTCCCAATTAAGGAAAACCATCTAGCACTGATGATGTTCCTTAGTTGGGTAATGAAATGTCTGCAAGAAAACAACCAAGGTCAGAGAGCATCAAGAATCCCACAGAAAGAAAGATTGCTTGTCAGGATTCATTCCCTGAGCAAATACTGCTCCCTGAGCAAAGGATGAAATCAGAAAAAAGATCTATTTCTTACAATTCGTTTTTATAGAATTGTACTAGAATGGTATCCTCTGGCATCCTGTGACATAAACATTCTGCTACTGCCATAAAATGCATTTTGATAGACTAGCATAAAATTGTTCCTTTCTTGGTGGAAGTTGCCTCTCCTTTTGTGGCTTACTGATAATGGTTTCTGGAAAGGCTTCTTTACTTTAGCCAGTATTTCTGGATGTAATCAAATAAATTTGTAATTATTTATGCTCAAAACAAATTCCATGCTTTTGTCTCCATATCCATGAGAAAATAAGACAGGCCAAAGTCATATCTCTCATATTAGTGGAAAGTTTCCAAGATGTCAATTTTTAAAGGAAAACTATATTGAATCCTATATTGTATTCATTACTCTTCATTTAGGATTGCACTATAAATATTTTTGTTGTTATAGTTCAATATTCCCAAATCTGTGTTGTCAAATGTATTGCAACTATAGTTTACAAAATGTCTAGCAATGATTTGACCAGATTAGCTGAGAATGCTGGGAACTGCGGATCCAAGACATTGAAAGCTGAAAATTGCAGTGATAATTGTTTAGCTCAGTGTTGTTCAATATTGGTGTCTTTCAGAAGTGTTGATTTCAGCTAGCAGAATTCCCCAGCCAATATTGCAGGCTGCAAATTCTGAAGTCCACTCTCGTTTAGATAGTGAAATCTATATATGTGTGAAGGTTTGAATGGAGGGAAGGAAAGTCATAATAAGTGGATTTATTTTCTACTTCCATGTTTGAACAACCCCTCACCACTCACCACCCCCACAAATAGCCTTTTGGCAATGATGTACAAACGTTTTGGTTTCAGTTTTCAATCGTCACATCATCCCATTTCAGAGGTGGGTTGCTGCCAGTTCGGCCCAGATTGGGCGAACCAGTAGTAGTCGTACATGCACACAAGCACGCGCAGGAGCGTGCCCGAACCGGTAGTAAAAAAAATAGCAACCCACCTCTGTCCCATTTGGAGTTTGAAATGGCTCATGTCACAGGTACATATTTCCCTAACTATTTTAAAAGTAATTGAAACTAGAATTCCAAATGGTTGGATTTAACTATGTGCACACCATTTATTAATGGCTGTCTCTCCATATGAGTGCAGATTCTAAGGATGACGGGATCTTTAAAAACAATATACAATTATATATATATAGGACCAGACAATGTCACATATTCGACAACAGTATAGTGCAAATTACCCAAAATATATAATCTGCATCAAGGATATCACAATACATGACATCATCAAAGCTTATATCAGATTTTATGGGCACACATATAAACTCAGACTTTCAGATTTACTCACATAAGTCGGGATGGAAACGGGAATGGATCCTAATTCACTGATATTCCATACAACTTTCTTCTCAGAGTGACTATGAATGTGGATTAAGTTTTAATTACTCCTTTTGAAGGAGATATACTTCTAGGAAAGTCAATGCCTTTGAAACTTAGCAACTTTTTAAACCCCTGGTATAACCAGAGGAATCATTGCAGGATCAAAAGGTTTTAACCTCAATCTGATTGATTAAATGTGGAACCCTGATTAATACAAGATTTCAGAGTTGGTTGTATATCATATTTCCATGAATGCTTCTTAAAGGCACAATAATAACACCAATTCATTCTTACCATGGTTGAATAATTTAGATTAAAACTGAAGGCCGGGGAAGGGGGAGTGTTACTATCTTTAGAAAAAGGGGCTTGTATCTTTGTCTGCCTTGTAACATCATAAATGGGATTTCGAGGTTTCTGTTCCCGAAGCATCTGTTTTAGCTGGTTTTCCATGCACTGTGGGACATCACTAGCAACTTCAAATATTCCAAAATCGGGATTATATTGAACTGGTTCCGCAAATGTCTATAAACGTGAAAAGTGAAAGATTAGGATTCAGAATTAGCACAACACTGAAGGAATATAATCTAACCATGCATTGTATAAATAAACTGAGGGCCCCAAATTCTGCCTGTATTCCTCTTAAACTATCTGATAGTTTAATTTTAGAGGGTTTCCCCCTCTTGATTACACTTTTATAGCCCAGGGCTTTGTTTTTCTAACTTTCTAGAACAGCGACTTCTGCCTATAAAAAAATTAACATTATCAGTTAATTCAGTACTGAATTAGAGGCACAGAGAAATTAATGCATATTTATAGTTTACGACCATTCAACCTCCTACCACTTAACCCATTCTGCAGTAATTGATGTGTTCTTTCATAAAAAGAGGAAATATGACCGTAACCTTTTAGCATTCCTGGAGCTTACAGAAAATGCGCCTATAAGTACATTTTAAAAACTGATGAAACTTCCCCAAATGGTAGAATTTACCGCTATCCTCTGAGCATTCAGGGCTAATCGACAACATTGTGCTGTCTGATAGAGGAAAAGGCTCATGGATTCTTCTTGGCAAGAAAATAAAACAGTGATAAGACGTAACTATCAATTTCCTGCCTTTTCCTGAGTGCTTAAATTAGCTGCCTGAAGTAGCTCCTTCTTTCTTTGTTGAATTGGCCTTGAGATAACAAAGTTATTATTCATAAGTATCATAAATTTGTGATTGCTAACATTTCTTGGGGGAAAAATATGCAATGTACTAACGTCAGGCCAAAGTTTCTGTTTTTATTTAATTTGGAGGGAATACAAATTAAAATAACAAAAAGAATAAACTTTTAATTCCAAATCATTGGAGATATGCTAGTTTATGAGAATATGTGAACAAAGCATGTAAATTCTACAATCTGGAACTATTTTAACAGATGCTAGATAATTTTAGTTATGTGTTATTTATATAGAAAACTAACCAAGGATAACATTAATTAATCACTTGTATCTATTTTTAATTTCAACTCTGGCAATGGAGCCCAAAGACCCATTTTCCAAAATGCAGTCCAATTAATTAAATTGAAAACATCTGGATCTTCTAATGTAATAAAACAGATGCCAATAACAATGTTTTAAATATAAACTGTATTGTCATCTTGGATGCTTGACTACCAATCAATTATAATGTATATAAAAGGATGGAATGAAAGAACTAATAGTCTTCGCCAATAAGCCTAGGCCAAACTACTAAGTTAATCAAAGGCACATGTCTCAATCCAACAAGTGACTTCACTTTTCTGAACTAGATCCTACATATGCAAAGAAGCTCGGAGTATGGGAGGTGTCACATTTGACATCTCAGAGCTCTGAACATATGCTGACCAGTCGAATCCAGTTCTTCCAGTGGAGGCAAACTGCAATCACCTGCAATCAACATAGGAAGACGCAGGGAAATCTTTGTTGGTAAAACCCACTCCTTATATACACAGACTTCTTATAGTGTGAGTTTAAAAAATCATGTGGTATCTCATGCAAGTGGATAAAATAAGCAATATATTATAAACGTGTATACAATAATCATGAATTACCAACTGTCTTCTGATTTAGTCAAACATGATCCCTGCACATATTTGCTAGAACACATAGTGAAAGCTCTACCACAACATGTGTCATGATTAGGATTCATTCAGATTCATTCCACGTGTAGATAATAAGATTGTTAAGAAGCAGAAGCAAAGTGTGCAAAAGGACCAAATCACTGAAGTGCAGTAAAAAATTAGGGTACATTATTTGAGCAATGAGTCCTCTATCTCTAATCTGTGTATGAGGAGTCAAATTACATTTAATCAAATAGCAATGCAAAAACATTTTAAACCCACTTGGAGGTATGCTAAGATCATTCCTCAAATTTGGGTCCCTGCAATTGCTTTGACAACAAGTCCCAACTAAATGCAGCTAATGATCAATGATCATGGATTGTGGAAGTGAGAGTCCTAGGCACCTGAAGGGCACTAGACTGAAGAAAGCATACTATGGTATTATTTCATATTACTTATCTATTTATCTATTCATTAATTTATTTCAATACTGCTCTTCTTCTTGAGAGAGGTCAGAGAGATACACAAAATGACAAAACCATCAAGAACAGGAGCAATAATTCTGATTTCTATAAGAATTAGAAAATCAGCAAGTAGGCATTCCATTCTTCTTTGAGACAGCATGGTGACCAGATATATTTTTTGTCAGGGGAGTGGGGAAGGCTTGTATTATATTACAGAATCATTGTGCAGTCCCTGAAAAGGTCTACTCTCTGCTATTTACATGGTGATCTGATCCAACCACAAAATGTTTTATATTAGGTTTGTTCTGTCTCATCAGTTTTACCCATGTTTCTTTCCATGTAGTGCCTGGACTAATCTGCATCAGGTTTTAAAGAAAGATGTAATCAACACATTTTATTGCTAATTATATGCATATATTAAATATATATTTACAATTTAAGATGTACACACACAGAGAGACACTTCACATTTGCAGAATGAATGGGGGATATATTAAAATGAAAATGATAATTTCTGAGTGGAGAAATCTCAATGGTAATGGTTCCAATCAGCACATTAGCCAAAGATATGTGGATTTGGTCAGTTTGTATTGAAGTTCTCAAAAAAGAACCCAAGTCATTATATCCATTTGATATAATTCAGAACAAAGAACTATTTAAAAGGTACTTCTGTAATTTAGCAGTAGACAATCCATTGGCTGGCTGCATGAAACAAAAGTGCCAATTTGCAGGATGATTTCCAACATAGTAATACATTAAAAACATTTCTTTTATTGAAATATTTTCTTGTAGTAAAGTGAACAATTAATAGCATCATATATTTTTTTACTTTAACCATTTGCCCATATACCAATTTTTTATGTCTGGGAACCAAACTGTAATCAGGTTTCCATTAGCATTACCCTGAATAATTTCTATGAAGAGCTGCAGCAAAATAAAACTGGACATTATCAGACACTCCGTAACAAAGTTGAATAGAACAAACTTAGAAAAGCTAGTGATGAACAGGTCAAGAATTCTCAGCTTCTTTCTGCTTTGGCCTTTCCATTCATTGCACCACTATTGCCTTAAGACATTTGCTGAGGTTTCCAGCATGAGATAATTACAACGTTCTCCTGAGGGAGTTTTCTGTAAAGCTTCTAATGTATGTACTACTTTGGGAACACAGTTTAGGATTTGAGACAAAGCAAGAGGGATTGGATAAGTAAGCCAGAATATCTTGCATGAGTCATATATTGTATATACAGTGTAAGTCTATATAGTAACAATCTAGTCAATCAATTTTATTGGGTTAACTATAAGGAATGTTGGAGCAATATGTGTCATACTTACTGGGAGACCCAAAAATTCATTGAAGAAGTCTACAAGTATATTGTCAGTTGCTAAAAACTCTTCCTGTGAGAACAGAGAAAAGGGGGGGGGATGTGATGTGGTAGAATAAGGACAATTCTTCTTATTGTAGAAGTGGTTAAGAATTTCCAGCATTCCTGCAGAATAGCAATACAACTTATATACCGCTTCACAGTGCTTTATAGCCCTCTCTAAGCAGTTTACAGAGTCAGCATATTTCCCCCAACAATCTGGGTCCTCATTTTACCCACCTCGGAAGGATGGAAGGCTGAGTCAACTTTGAGTCTGGTGAGATTTGAACTGCCAAATTGCAGGCAGCCGGCAGTCAGCAGAAGTAGCCTGCAGGACTGCACTCTAACTACTGCACCACCGTGGCTCCGATTCTGGTCCACATCAGGTCAGATTATGGTCTACCTATATGAGCATTACCAGACTAATTAATAATACAAGCTAAATTGGTAAATTCTTCAGCTGGGGCCTCAGGCCAAGGTCTTCTCTATCATTTATTGCCTGATCCATTTACAAATAACCATCACTAACCAATTGTAGTTTCCCAATGGACTAGCAGAAGAATCATTCTCAAGCCAGACCCTTCAGCCTAATTCCAGTGAAAGTAAATCATTACTCTTCCAATGAAAGATATTGGAATCTTTATCATAGCAAGATTCTATTCCATTATATTATATCCAGCTGTGCCCCCAGGTTGACTATGTTGGCTGGGGAATGAAGGGAGCTGAACATCAAAACATCTGGAGTGGTAATATATTTGGATTCTTCTCCTTTATTGGCAGCTTCCGCTACATTCCCCATAAGTTTTATGCTTTGGGATACATTGGTTTTGTAACTTTATGAACTCTACCTGTTCAGCTTTCCATTTTCAATTTGGTAATCAATTGAAGGACACTTAAGATTAGATTTAGATGCAACAGCCACCCTTCCTCAACGTGACTCTAACATCTTCAATGCAAATCAAGTTCTTTTGCATTAGGTAGCGATTTGGAAAAAGACAAATCTTAGCAAACCTCCAAAATTAATGGGGAGGGTGCAGCAGCACCCTTCAAATGAATTAGAAACCTCCCACTGACTTTGTGTTAAAAATGTTATTAAAAACAGATTACTGTGTCCTATAGCATATTTCACATTTCATCAGTCACAGTGGGCTGATGACAGCAGTGTAAATGACGGGTTATGACAAAAAAGAATGTTAATGGCTTTACTGGCCCAAGAAACCAATAGAAAACAAATCCCTTATTAGTTAGGGAATTTGAAGCGGGAGAAAATATGCAGACATCTATGTTATTGAAAATACCAACTGTGAACCTTTTCAATTGTATGACATTATTCATATGACTTTCAAAACTGTGTGGGTGTGCATGTGCCTTTGAGTCAATACTAACTCCTGGTAAGTGCCTGGAAAAATTCCTGAAGTTTTCTTGGCAAGATTTTTTTCAGAAGAGCTTTGTAATTTTATTTTTAATCTTTTAAAAACCTTTATAATTTCTACAAGAATTATATTTGCATTCCCATTTTAATATTTAATATCTACTTTTATTATTCCCTTTGTAATAGTACTAGTGTCAGAATAATGTAAATTTTAGGAAAGCAAACCTCAAGTGTTAGGATAAATCCCAAGACAGGGGGGGGAATCTACATTTCATACTTAACACAATGAGTGAGCAGCCAAATGTCCCAAAGGTGCTTTTTCAAGAGGCAACTGGAATTTCTGATTTTTCCTTTCCAGACATTTCGCTTCTCTTGAGCTGAAGAAGCTTCTTGGATGAGAAGCGAAACGTCTTCAAATGAAAAATCAGAAAGTTCAGTTGCCTGTTGAAAAAGCACCTTTGGGACAATCATGACCTGGATGACTGACAATCTCCACAGACATCTAACAACCAAATATTTATTCTTAACATTTTAAACTTTATGAAAATCCTGATTGAATAACAATTGACTATTCAACATTCACTGAATAATGAATGTTGTTTAAAATGCAGACTTATTACATAGGAATCTGAGCTTCAAAAACCTAGATAATCAATTGATGGCGGTAAATAGAAATTATAAACCAGTTGCTGTCATCTAGTGGATGTTTGGATTTTTGCAGCAGGAGATCTTCCCCAGCTTTACTGAATGTGCAAACTGTCCATATTGGTGCTATGCATATGTGTTGTAGGGTCAACAGCAGTTTTGGTGAGTTAGATACCTTTTCCATTAAAGAAAGAAATCCTGTTGTTCAGACAGTAGTAGCGCTATGAATGTGTGAAGAGAGGGAAATCTGAAAAAAGCTGGGGGGGCCTTTAGCAATTATACATGTAGAGAACTCAATGCAATCAAGGAGCAGATGTTTTTCATTGCTGGTCCTACCCCAAGGTCCTTTAGTTTTCTTCTTCAGGGAAAAAGCCTATGTACTCTTCATATGTACATCTAAAGTAAGACATTAGCACAACCTAAGCATTGATTCCACTCTACAGTTTTTGATTATGAAAAGATATTTCTTGCTTATAAGACATATTCCACTAGGCAATAGTTCTCATCCTTGGCAACTGTAGGTTGTGTGGACTTCAGTTCCCAGAATTCTGCAGCCAGCATCCTGGAGAGGCCTATTTAATCAGTCTGTGAGACATATTTCATAGTCAACTCTTCTGGTTTTAAATCTTTGAAAACCTTAATTTGTTTTCAAAGCTGGCTGTGGAAGTATTCTGTTTCATTAATGCCCTTAATAAAAAGATACGTATACATGTGGTCCTTTAGATCCAACCTAGAATATTATTTAAATTGCAAGCAGTCCTTGACTTAACAACTATTCATTGACTGTTTGAAGTTACAACAGCACTGAAAAAAGTGACTAATGACTGCTTTTCACACTTACAACTTTTGCAGTATTGCGATAGGTAGAGGTAAAGATTCCCCTTGCACATATGTGCTGGTCGTTCCCAACTCTAGTGGGTGGTGCTCATCTCCATTTTAAAGCCGAAGAGCCAGTGCTGCCCGAAGATGTCTCCGTGGTCATGTGGCTGGCATGACTAAACGCCGAAAGCGCACGGAAAGCTGGTACCTTCCCACCAAAGATGGTCCCTATTTTTCTACTTGCATTTTTTACTTGCTTTCGAACTGCTAGGTTGGCAGAAGCTGAGACAAGTAATGGGAGCTCACTCTGTTACCGGAACTAGGGATTCGAACCACTGAACTGCTGACCTTTCTGATCGACAAGCTCAGTGTCTTAGCCACTGAGCCACCGCATCCCAATTGCCATAGCCACATGATCAGAATCCAGACGCTTGGCAACTGGCATATATTTATAATGGTTGCAGTGTCCTGGGGTCACATGACCAGCTTTCGCAAACTTCTGACAAGTGAAGTCAATGGGGAAGCCAGATTCACTTAACAACCATGTTACTAATTTAAGAACTGATTTCACTTAATTCACTTAACAACTGTTGCAAAAAATGTTGTAATGTGGGGCAAACTCATTTGACAATTGTCTTGCTTAGCAACAGAAATTTTGGACCCAATTTGACATAAATCAAGGACTATCTGTAATCCATTTGTGCATATAAATCTTAGGCTGTAATCCTCTATCTGTTTATGTGGCTATATGTTGCTCTACCATTAGACTTCTCAGTTTTTCAATATTCTTGTCCTTTCTTGAACATTATTAGATTTAGCAGAGCTGTTTGTTGTCCCAAACATTCAGAGAAGCACTTATTTACTATTTCTGTTTCCCCACTATTTTGTATATAGCACTCTACCTGCTCTTAGAAGATGCACTATTGGTTTAAGTAAAATTGTTGATATATTTTTAACTTATTGGAACAGATAAAAGGAGTATAACTTCAGATAATTAAAACAATATTTTTGTGACCATATGATATTACAGCAATACTACTGCCTAAAACTTTCCACTTTTATGTTTAAAATTACATGTAAAATATATTAAGCCTTTTCTTGTTCTTAACTTCTTGTAAGGGATGGATGGTATTGTACAGTAACAAATATATGTTATTCCACAAAATGGATTTTCTTGCCCTTAGTATCCTGATGATCATGCTGCCAGCTAGAAAGCAAATCTCTGCCAGAAAGTTGTGTGCTGATTTATCATCAAGTAATTCACCTACTTTGACAATTCAGCACATTTTTTCTTCAATTCCAGATTGACTCACTTAGGCAGAGCCAAACTGAACTAAAATTGTTCTAGAAATAGGGTCAAATTATTTGGTCCTATATAATGTATACTTTTTCAGAGCAAAAAGAAGCAGATTCTTGGGTGGAGATGAGATGATAGGGCAGGCAGTGAAGTTTCAATTGGTGCGTTTCACCAAAATATCTATGGAGATTCTTAGACATCCAGTTCGTGGTTGTCCCAAAAGTGCCTTTTTAAAAGGCAACTGGACTTTGTTTTTTCTTTGAAGACGTTTGACTTCTCATCCAAGAAGCTTCTTCACCTCTGACCATACAGTTCTGAAAAAGCACGTTGGGCTTCACCAAAATAATATCCCCATCTGCATCAAACCATCTCTGTCTTTCTGCTGTGCCCCTATGACATTGCCTTTCTCTGTCCTTAAAGTGAGCTGAGTTCACGTTGGCCTATACCCAAGATGGCAAACTTATGGCACACATGCCCAAAGTGGCACGTGGAGCCATGTTGGCTGGCACGTGTGGTGTCGCCCGTTCCTCTTCAGGGTTTCTGGCACGCGTGTGCACATGACAATCAGCTGTTTTTTGTTCAGCAGTGCCAGAAACCCGTAGAGCTGGTTTCCATTGTGCACATGCACATCTGGCAGCTGATCAGTGTGCATGCAGGTGCACCAGTAACCAGAAGTCAAGCTTGCCAATGTGCATGCGTGCAGCAGAAATTGGAAGTTCATTTCCCGGTGCATGCATGCCCACTAGGCAGCTTCTCTTCTGGGGCGCGCACACCCTTTTTGGCATTTGGTGCCGAAAAGATTCACCATCACTGGCCTAAGCTGTACTGTTATTAAAACAGAGCTTTTCCTCCTATTCTGAGAATAGCCTCAAATTGTGTCACACCTTTTAGACTTTGTACCTTGAAGGCCAATCTGGTGACTGGCAGGGACCAGGAACACAAGTGACAGAGGCAATACAAGTTTATGGATCAGCAATTGTATAGCGTTTTTTTTTTGACCCAACAATGGGCAAAGAGCTCTATCCACTGCTTAATGGGGAAAGGGCCTGAGATATCAATGCACTTAATTCTTTCCTGTTTTGTTTATAACTTCCTGTTTAATTTGACTTCTAAACAGAGGTTTTAGAGCATCTGGCAGGCTGAATTATGAAAAGGACAAGGCCTTTAGGGAAGGAAAGCCACGTTCCTCTCTCTGAAGCTATTCCTTTCTTTAAAGGCCCAACTTGGCTCTCCCTATTCTTCCTCTATCAGAATCTGTGAAAGAATTGGAAAGGTGCAGATGGAAAACGGCCATTCAGGCAGGAAGATGATGCCTTGTCCTGCAACTTACCTATGGAAGAAGAGGTTGCATATCAATATTTCTCAATCTTGATATCTTTAACATGTGTGGACCACTTCCCAGAATTCTCCAGCCAGCCTGCTGGATTGGAACTTCTGAGAGTTGAAGTCAACACATCTTACAGTTGCCAAGATTGAGAATCAATGCTCCATGTATCTCATTCCTCCTGCAAAGGATGTTTGAAGTAAGAGGGAAGATTTTGGAGGGAGGGCTCTAAACTTTCTAAATTAATGCTCCCATTGCATTCCTTTTCAAATTATTATGTATGTATGTCTTCGATAATATTCACAGTTACTGTGGAATGAAAAGCATTTGATTCGGTGGAACTAATTTCTGATTCAAAATATTTAATGTTCTGCCATCAATAACATGGTTGCATAATAACATGGTTGCATAAATAAAGAGATAGAATCAAGATCATATCACATTTAAGACTCTTCTCTCTGCAAAAAAATGCATGTAAGATACTAGGGATTGGTTGTTGTAAATGACTAGGTAAACATAAATAGAGGGCAGGGGAGATTTAAATGTCAGTTATACTCTACCCTGTTTCCCCGCATGCCCTAAAAAATAAGCTCTCCCCTGAAAATAAGCCCTCCCTGAAAATATTGCAACACAGCAGCAGCCATGAGTTGACCACACTTATCACCTCCTGCACCTCAAAAATAATAAGACTTCCCCAAAAATAAGGCCAAGTGCTTATTTTGGTGGTCAAAAGAAAATAAGACCCTGTCTTATTTTGGGGGAAAACACATTGTCAGCATAGCTATCTATCTGAAAATGTGTCAAATACTAGAGAATTAAATTACTATGTTGAACAATTTGCAATGAGACAAGGAAAACAGTTTACTTACAAATTCATTTTCTCTTATGGAGGGAGGCACTGAAACATAAACAAAAATAGTATTAATAATGTAGATCTAATAACGAAAGTTCTCTGGACCAATTATGAAGTTATTAAAGTTATTCAGAAAAACAAATTCTTGGTTGTTTTATTAGTAGCCAATTATCAGTTATGGCAAAACCAGTTATCAGTAAAAGCAGAATAGCTGTACAGTAATCATAAGCTGCCACCCCCAAGATCAATACACCGATTGTAAGTTCCTGTTCACACAACTAGAAACAGCAATAACCAAATAAATCATACACCCAAAGAGTTCCTTCCTTGTAAAAACACTATTTTATTTGCTTGTTAAATGCAAGCAAGTAGAATAGTGAAGAATTTTGGGAGACAGATCTCTTTATGGGGTCCATTCATTTTAAAATATTCATGCCAACATATAGGATATTTTCAACATGTTTATAATGTGTATGTTTGCCATTAAGCAAGGAGAAAGCCAATTTTTAAATGGTTCCTTTCCTGCATAAAAAAGCTTGTTGGGCAGTTCTTAGCAAGTTATTACTAGGTTGATAAAACATTTCATCTACCAATTTCTACATATTTTAAAGGTTATGATAAGAAGCTTTAACATATGTAGAAAGAAGAACAAGAACAATTCTGATTATTTCTCTAAGTCTCCTGGCAATTCTATAGTAAGTTTGAATATTTTAAAAATATCTCATTTTCTAAATTCTAGTTTTGTAAGACAAATGTCAGAGAAATGACTGCTGTGTCAGACTAAATTGGTGTTTCAGAATGTCCATGAACATTCATTATGGCTTGCTGAATTAGCTTTCACTGAAAGTAATAGATTTTTAGTTCATTCAGTTAAATTCCTAAGCAAATATCAGAAGTACTTCTGAGAATTAAATGATTCAGAAGAGAAAAACAACAAACTTGGATCTAGAAACCTTTGGTTGGTGATGAGGTATCATCTGCTATTTTCTGTAGGTTGCTGAACAATAATTCTCTATAATATCACTAATGTGAAGAAAGCAGGAATGATAGAAAGCAGATTCCTCACTTTTATCCCTATGTCAATATGGGGACCTGTGTCATGGCTCAGTGGTCCATATATATATAGAAACAAAACAAGAAACAAAAGAACACAATCTAACTAAGAATGAAGTAGCTGTCATTGAAATAAATGAAAGCTTAACTCTGGTTAATTTTCAGTTGGGCTGTTGCACCCAGATTAAATACTTTTTAACATGAATATGCCATTTTTATAAACGGGATTTGGTTTCCATTCTATCTATCATCTATCTATCTATCTATCTATCTATCTATCTATCTATCTATCTATCTATCTATCTATCTATC